CAACAAGCCCTTGAATTTGAGGCTCCAGTGGCAGGCATAAGCTGTCACATTGCAGTCGTACAACTAGATCAAAGGGTTACAGAGCTTGAGGAGCCTCTCCTACGAGTGCTCAGCCGAATTCACATGACAGGAGGGGTAGGATTGGACACTGTCCCGATGATCGTGTTAATAACGGACAAGGTTTGGAAGTTGAGGTTATGCTACGGGTGTGAATTTCGGCAAAATGAACGTCAAACAAACAAAGTACGCTAAAAAAGACTACCCAGGTCTTTACGGACCACGGCGGACACGGTCTACCTACTTCTCGAAAACAGCTAGTCATATTATGGTCAAGCATCGAGGTTTTATTAAGAGAGTGGCTTCAAAGAACGAATACAAACGTAGCAATAAAAAATAGACAGGAACGTGGGAACTGACCAACCTGTTTAAGAAAGGAGAAAAGCGTCGTTTGGCGTGCAGCGCCCTCTACAAAGACAAAGGGAGAGGAAAGCCGGCACACATGATATTGCAGTTTACAAGGAGGGAAGATCAAACGTACATTTGATTATAGGTGACTAGAACGCGCTGTTGTTGGCTAAAAAAGGCAGTAGACTGAACTCATCGCGATTAATGTTGATTTCGAAATGGGGAATTTCTACCAAAAACTATCGCCAAACTAGGGACTATTCTTCGGCTTAGGGCGCAATCATGATGTGGTTTTTTGAAAAGAACACAATATAACGACAAATATCAAAAAGGATAGTGCCCTTAGCGGCTGTGGTTCTCAAAAAGTCGCTTAGCGTAGACGAATGGCGCACGTGGGGGGAATATTATGGAAGTAAACTATTGAGGTCTGAACATTTGATCAAATTAAACAAGGCACATTTACGGAAGAAAACTTCGGCCAGCTACTGTTGGCAGGGAAAGGTGTAACAGGGCTGCGTTTAGAACAGTGCAATGCCTATTACTTCAACGCCGATTCTCAGACAAATTCGATAGTCTGCTTCGTGTAATTAAAAAATGTACTTTAGACAAACAGTCCGTCAATATGTAGCTAAAGGTTTTCCGGAAATCATCGAGTCCAGCATATTGATGACCGCACTTCGCCTAATATGTGCTTCTTGGCCGAGTACTTGACGAAATGCACTTTACTGTCCAGAGCAATGATGACGAACAATTCCTCTCCTTCAGCAAAATATTTAGGTCAGTGAGTACCAAGCAAGCAGCTTTCAAGAGCTTTCTGAGAAATTTTTTGTAGGCTGATGCCATCACTTTGTTGGTCGAAAATACAGGCATGCAACCCGGACCAGAAAATCTCCCTGAGGAATACGAGAGACCGCAACCCGCCAGGCCCTGCGAGTCTGGGACTGAGCAAGACTGGCTGACGACGGTTAATAGGCCTGTAACGGCTACCACAATTTCGCCCGTCTTTTTAGGTACTTCCCTCTGCATGTACTACTGGTCACCGCGCGACTGCCCGCGAGGGCTCAATCTTGACCCCTTCTGTGAGTAGGAAATTTGCAGAAGACGTACTTTGCTATGTGCATTTTTTCTATGAAATATATTTGAACTTATGATGACATGGAAAATGGATGGAAAATTTTCAGGCTACTTAAGTAATTATCTTAGCAGTGTACTTTTTGTGGGCGGCCGGAATGAAGCCCATTCAAAAGCCGGCATCCAGGAGTGACTGAACTATCTTGGGATTATGCTGCTTAAATAATCCAGTGTTGCCTTGCAAAGAACGAGCATTTTCGACACTTTTCCTCGCCTTCAGTTCAAGGTTCAAAACTGCTCATGACACTTGTTCTACGTATGGAGTAGGCGCAATGCCCAGAAGAACTGCTTGGTATCAGTTCGACACATTCAGAAGCGGACATTCGAAATCGACGACGCATTCTCCACTTTCAAAAGACTGGTTGGCTCAGACGAGAACCATCTGAATGCACTTTTGGTGGAAAATGATTCACAAATCAGCCGAGAATTGACGGGAACGTTGCACAGGCACCCTCAGACCCCCATCAATCACTTTGGGGTCGCTGTGAAAAGTCCAAAAGATTGAGGCGTGGATGCCACATGTGTTGTTGGAAAACAGGAATTGGCGCCTCCCTACCGTTGACGATATACTTGTACGACACGAACGCACCCGCGGACACAAACAAATATTCCCCTCTCGCACAGTCACTGGCGATGTGGAATATTGCTTCTACGTCAATACGAAGCAGAAAGGAGTGGGGCAACTATGATGAGCAAGCAACAGTTCCATCAAAGCAGGACCTTCATTCATGAAAAACCATGACTTGTGTGTAGTGGGATTGAGAAGGCGTACTCCACTAGCAACTGCTCGAGAAAAACGAAAAAGTGCAATCGAACTGCGTCGCTTAGATGGAGCCGCTCTACAAAAACGCCCTCACTGGCAAGACAAACTGATTCTTCAACAGTTACAGCGCACGGGCTCATGGGGCTCAAAATGGTTATCCATGAGCGTAAGTAGGAAGTTGCACCACAGTCCGGGCCTTGTTAGGCGAAACTATCACCTTTTCCAGTCGCTTTAAAACCTAGTGGATGGCGTTCAGTATGACAACGATAAAGACTGCAAAAACTGGTTCGGCAACTATTCCGATACCAGACCGGGTGATCCTTATACAAACTGCATCGGAAAATCGTTTGGAAGGTGGGACAAGTTGGAAAGAATGATGGAGAATACATAACTGACCGATATGTATTTTCGGTTAGAATTGTATTCCCATAAATAAGTTTTAAAAACCCCAGAGACTCATTTGACAAAACAATAGCTTTGGCACAATTTCCAGTAAAAATTCAGCAAGGCCACGTGATGCCTAGGAACAATTTGAAAGACAACGAATCAGGCAACATGTCTTCTGGCACGGCCCAAATCCCACCGCCGCGTAAATTCGACATCAGATTTTGATCAGTCCGTCCAGACTTGCGATAACACAAAAGGCCGGACAATTGATTAACCCGGCGCGCAGGCAGTGGGGACTCCCTCAGTTACGGATGTGCACGCAATGAGATGGATTTGCCTCTCGGAACTTCGAGACCATCCTACACCTTCATTAGTAGCCCAAACCACAGCACACACGCTGCTGTTACAAAGTTCGGCGTAGCCTCTGGGAAAAATCGAGAAACACTCAATCGGGAAGTATGTGTAATTAATAAAGGGAACCGAAAGACCACTTTTGCTTATTTGTCATCACCAGCCAACCGTAACACGATTGAGGTCTTAATTAGTCATCACGCGAGCTGTGGGCCTACGTACAATAAGCGACAATGATTGTTGTAGATTTGGAAGTGCACGCGGGAACTCTCGACCCAAAACTCCTACACGCCAATGTCCACCTGCTACCGAAGCAGATGGATGAATGTCACCCCGACAAAACGCTCAAGAGTCCGAATAATCCTCGGAAGACTTGCGCCCTCTACAACGAAGTCCACTTCTGCAACTACCCCACACCAAGTCTGGGTGCCCGTCGTAAGGTGTGGCCCGTGTTTCTTTTTGTAGCATGGTGCACAGATGTGTTTCAAATATGTTTTTGGCCTTTGTACTGCCTGGAGGTTTTACCACTACTTTAATTACCCGAATGTCGAGCACAATTCTATTTAAAGTAGTCTCTAGCTGTTGAAGACTTTATTGGCAACAACTAGCAACTAGACAACTGACTTAACTGAGGGCTATTTTAACGAAGAAACAGGAGAATTATCACTGGGAATTTAGCGACAGTCGCAACGCGTGGAAAGCCTAGTGGAAACTAGTAAGAACACTCCAGTAAGGAGTAAGGTAGCGTGCACTAACCAGAAACAGTTAGTACCCGGCAGGTGAGTTGGTAGCATCTTGATGTGACTTTTTTCGCAACAATCACTTTGGTACTAACACATAGGCAAGTTGTACGGTATCGCATAGAACGCTGCACTAACTATATATTGTCCGGCACCAAACGAGCCGGAATACAGGATGATTTAAACCAACTTCCGTCACTTAGGCATTCTGCTGGGAGCATAGTCAAGCAAAAGGATCGCAGCCCCTGATACTTAGGAGAAAACGTCAACATTTCTAATTTCTCCAAGAGGAAATCTTAGCTAGCGTAAGCAAATACGACGAAGTACGAGGGTGAATTTCGCCAGAAATGCGCGAGAACCGATCCTACCCTATGCGTTTGGAAAAAAGACTATGTGACATCCGTAGAATAGTTGTCAGCGTCTGGAAAGCTCATTCTGGTCTATGATAAGCCTGTGAAAATAAAACCTCACAACCAGACTCACAGTTCTATAGTGCGTACGGTCCAAAGAAGGGCAAAAGTTGGGATGATTGGAGAGCAAACACCGGTCACAAAGCTGACAGTGGATGACCCCTAGATAAGAACAGCTAGTAGATTCTAATTATTTGGCCGTCAGATGAGAGGTCTCTTTGAGTAAAAAACTGGTCAGGAGGTCAGTTGACCCCAGAGGATGAGTTTTCGCTGAGATAAAAGTATACGAGCAAACAGCCGGTAACGCGAAAACACCGTTAAATCACAATAAACGGGACTGGACAGAGAAGTAACCAACAACTGAGGGCAGAACAGTTTTACTTCGAAAAGCAAACCTTTAGAACGTTGCGCAGAGCCAGTGCGGCGTCGAGGTTCACGGGGCATATCGTGATGGAGACGGTTCCTTCTACAACCACAAGCCCTCGTGAATACGAGTGAGACAGAAAACAAGGTCTCAACAGAGAAGCGAGTGAGGCAACAAGAAAAGAATGATCTCGTTTGTAGAAATATTTTTTTGATGAAAAACAAATGAAGGGCATGACCAAGACATCATGAAATTTTTTGGCCGATGAAAAGGAACACGATTCGATTGTGCGAGTAACAAGAGACGAGGTCCCAAGTTTTTCAAGTCAATATAACGGAGATAGGCGATAAGAAAGCGAACTGAAAGACTTGGTCTCTCTAGGAAGGTCGTGATTAGACAAGATAGGCAAATGCGGTGGAAGAACAAACTATGAAGTCCAGTTGGAGTCACTACACGCCCTCATGACTTGAAACGGTCCCGGGAAAGTCACTGAGAGACTGGGATATTGGCAGCAGGGCAGGTCGTCCAGAAACGGCCGTGGTGTCGATGGCGTGGAAATCCTCGTCAGAACCAACATAATCACTATCGCTGCTGGGTCCAGGGGTATCTGGTAAAAGGCAGTCAGAGGAACGTCGCCGTTGTCGTTCCTGACGCCGTTTCTTAAACCGTTTTCGGTGGGATGGAGTTGGAGCAGTGAGCGGCATTAGGGGGCTGAATTCGTCGCCTGCGCGGGCCGTCATTGCCCGCGATTTCGAAAGACCGGGAACTATCGCGGTACGAGGGGGACCGGAGAATCTGCCGTCAGAACCGATAAAGCCAACGCTGCTGCCTACAAACACAAAGCACCAATCAGTTGTGCACTAGCATGACAGAGAAAATAGTAGACTACATCGTTCTACAGCACCGTCAGAACGCTGAGGATAAGTCATTAGTTACTCCTGTACGTAAAAACGACTTAGAAGTACTGGATCTGCTGAGGGAGTTTTGCTGCTTTTTTTCTAACAAACAACCCCTGCACGGCTTCCACTGGCAGATCTAGAAAACAGTGCTGCTGGGGAATGAATCAAACTACATAAGCACTATTTCTAACATGGAGCAAAATCTCCATAGAAAACTTCCGTTACTTAATACGTCCATCTAAGCAGGAAGACGACTCTAGCGTGTATAATGACTTCCCAAAGAACTGAAATGTGAAAAAATGCAGTTAGACCTTAGCAATGGAAGCCAGTGGGAAAGACAGTAGAAGGGCACTTGCCTACATGACGGACGTGTTGCACTACGTCACGCTTTACGTCCGACACGTCGAGCATTGACCACCAAGACGTACAACAGGAGCTACGCGGGATGCTGGTGTCACGATACGGGGCCACGCTGAAGGCGAAGTGGTGAGCAACCGCTGCGATGAACATTTCGATGCAGATCGCAAAATTCTAAAAAAATTACAAAGGGAGGGCTCGCAGTCAAAGTACATGTAACTTTGGGACTAATATGTCAGCCTTAGGGGATCCTAAAGCAAAAACGATCGAACAGACAGCCGCAGACGTGCACTTTGGGTCGTAAATTGCCACTTCAGTCTTGTTTGATGATAATACTCTTGGATTATTGATTGTTCATCACAATGCTACAATCTGGGAGGATTCTAGATCGGGGAATCAAGGTAAATGGAACGCCTGTGGTCCATCTTGAAAGCCTCTCCTGTGTACCTTAGGTTCACCACGTGTGGGTGTGGCAGGCAGTGCCTTAGAAACCCTTTGATAAAAATTCAAGAACCAAGGTGTAAAAATTCGAGGATAATATGACTTACTTGCAGAGCGATCCCAATCGACTTGACATCATACAGCTTCCACGCCTCAACCTTTTCAATTAAACCAGACGCCGCAAGGATGGAAATCAAAACTGACTGCCTGTAAAAAAAAACAGTCGTCGACACCACAATAGGTTTTCATTCAAATCAATTTAAAAGTAGAGGTGAAAGATATTTTCCGCGATTTTTTCGAGAAACCTACTGCAGTGTCCCAAAGACTAAAGTTTCCTAATCGAAGCTCGCACTAATTCCTGAAGACACGCACAATTTCTAGAGTCTATGCGTGAGTAGCGTCCACGTGCCGCGAGAGAGGGTGCATTTGTGTGTATGCACCTTGTTTGGTCTTTAAGTAGGTCAAACTGATTAAATTAGGGTGTGATGCGCTCTGTTGAGTTCGAAGAAGAAACTACGGGCGCTTTTTTAGATTTCAGGTTAACTCACTAATAAACTGACGTAGCCCAGCCCCTCAGAGGTAAAATTTAGAGAACAAAAGCATTAAAAAGCACCGCAGAAACCAGAACACGAAGCAACCACATTTAAGCACTGTGAGATTCCTTGCCAGTGGACGTCGACCTCGTTGCATGTGATTCACCTGAAAATGTTGGCTAAAGGCCTGCAAACAATTTCCGAGGCTGGGCGAGTATTTTAGGTGCTATTAACGTTGTTGCTAACCTTTGGGAGCTAGTTACGTTTGAATGTACCCGAACTCGATTATATTGGACGAGTTAGTGAAAAAAAAACTGGGCAATACGAAACAACGGCGAGTACGACCGAAAGGATAACCGTCTTCTACATCTTTTTAGAATGGAGGAAAATAAATAGGAGTACTTACCAAAAAGACATGAACACAACAAATTTAACACAAATAAACTTCGAAACTGGCTTCATCGGTTTGAGTTCGGCCTTCATGCACTGGTAGAATAACACGAGACAGTACAAAGCCCACTGAAATTCGGAAAAAAATTATGACAGTATCAAAGTTGATGCAGTAATGCAAAGCGACTTTCTTTCGTGATTCAGGATGAGTGCACTCAAATATGGCAGACATGGGGCGGATTTTTCTTACCACTTGCGATATATTGTTTACTACAGTCAGATAAACGTAGGCATATCTATAACTGAAGTTGGTCTCGCCATAAACTCCGCAGACCTCGCATATCCTAAATAGACAGAAAATGAAGGGCAGTAAATCCACACAGTGATAGGCAAAGATGGTTACACACTACCGATTGGATTGTAAATTACGAATTTGTATGAGATAGTTAAAAGCCTCCAGAGTAACCATGTATGGTAATGGTGACGTTTTCGAGGCTGCTCTATGTGAAAAAGTGGCGGTGTTTCAGTTATAGAAGAGCACACTAGTAAACAAAGTACAATAGAGAGTACTGTCAAACATCTCAAACGTTTTTGAAGCCGCCTCATGAAATGCCATCGGTTATAGTGAAAAACTAAAGATGACTGGGCGAAAGTGAATAAGACACGCTTGGGGTCTCAAATCGTCAAAACACTGACAACACAATTGGGCTAGCGGGATCGCGGGAACAGGAGATGGGTGTATGTAAAGGCAGATTTGAAGGTCTCGTTTGGAGTTAAAAGTTTGATCGTACAAGGACAGGCTGGACGTTGTCAAAAAGTTCATTTTGTACTGAAAACACCGGTAAACCTTCCTCGAGCAAGCTTCTAAAATCCGAAACTTACTCAAACTGGGAGACAACGATCAGAAGTAAATCGAGTACATTGAACGGAAACTTACAGCGCAATAATAGTTGTTATCGGTCGTATAACCGTGTATTGCAGAACACCATGGCGACAATGTTCGATGAAAGGACTGTGTAGAAAGGGAAAAACAAAGCATTACCACTTTGCACCCGATAAAAGATGGACATGCAAAAGAGGAAAAAACCGGCCTGCTCAAGTGAAAATAAAATATTTAGTTCGTAAACATAGTCAAAATAAAACTGGAAGGCCCAAGCTGTCGGTTATCTGTTTGGCGTCATTTATCTCACACCTGCCAGTTACGGCCAATAAAACGTAACTTGTTCCATTTCCACCATGAACGGTGAGCCGTCAGCTCTTCCGATTACGTCAGATGGCGCATCAATGGTCCTCGCCCTTATTTAAATTTACTAGACACTTCATGCTGGAATCTTTTAGATAGATTTTCTCATGCATGAAAATTAGCTCCACGGTTTGCAAAAAGTGAAGAACAAATGTCTTCAACTTCAGCTCAGGAGCCAACACACCGTCCGAACCTGGCAGCCTGAAATATTTTCCTGCTCAGGGCAATGGATGGAAAACAATACATAATTAACACGAGCAAAAAGCCTTGTAGATTATGAGACTGCGAGTTCAAGATTTCTGTGTGACTGAAGGGAAGCTGTGAACTCGCTATCACTGAACAGGGCGGAGTCTACTTTGATGTCCCTCAAGGACATATCTAAACTGGAAGGCAACATAGTAACTAACTATACGTCGAAGGACACCTGCCGTCAATATGACTAAGAGCAAAGAGATGGAATGAACAATACAGGTCAATCAGGTTATTCGGCTGCTGTGCTGAAAGGGAGAGTTAAATACACACAAATAAATCCGGTTCACAGTTATTGCTGGGAGCTTTGCAATTATGGAAGTAGCGGCTTTACCAGACATGACTGTTGCTAACAGTGAACAGATGCTCCCAGTTCACGCTTAGTGTGGGATTAAAATGCAGTGTCAAATCTGACATTTAATGCGGTGTTCGAAGCCTACAAGGTGGATTACCACGAGCTCGGAATGTTTAAAAAACCGGATGGGGGAATAAGAAAGTCAGTCCTGCGTAAAAGTGTGTAGTGTACAAAGGCAGCAAAAGAACGGACAAGGAAAACAGTTATCACTTTGCAAGGCAGAGCAGCACGGCGAAAGAAGTAATGAGACTCACCTGCCCATTGGCCACGGTCTGCAGCAACACAGGGGTGGGATGTGCATCACCTGCTGCTTTTGCTCCAAATGCTGGTTGAGTTCGGGATATTCTCGTCTCAAATAATTTAGCAAGAACGCGAGAAAGTTGTAA